ATCTACAGGTCTGCGCTTGTGTCCTGTGGCATCTGTCTAGAGGACAGCTTTGCTTCTTCCTTTCCAGTCCATGGAATCCCTCCTCCCCCACGGTAGGTGGGGATTTCTGCGTAGGTGGGTTAGGCACTGGAGCCTCCTGGGAGTTTTGGAGGTGCACTGGGACTCCCCTCCAACCCACTAAAATGCGCACCCTGTATTGGCGCTCTGGGCATCCGCCCGAACAAAGTTCCAAGACAGACTGCAAATTTGCATCTCAGAGTTCTGGAAAGTTGGACTCTGCGATCAAGTTGCTGCAGGGTCGGTTCCTCCCTAGGCTCTGAGGGACAAATGGCTCTGGGTGTCTCCTGCACCTGGTGGTTGCCTGACAATGTGTGGTGTTTCGAGGCAGTGATAATGTCATGTCAGTCCTCCCGCGGGCTCCTCCTGTGGGCAACTCCCCAAGTTGGGACCTGCGTCCTGGGCCCAACTTCCCGCTTTTCTGAGGACACCAGTCACATTGGAGTGGAGGCTCATCCTACTTCTATGATCTCACCTTAAAGACATGTGCAATGACCTTATTTCCAAAGAAGGTCATTTTCAGAGAAACCCGGGTTAGGATTTGAACTTTCCCTGTCCCCACGCGTGATACTGAGGCTGGTTTTCTGGAATGGCCAAAGTCCAGGCACTACCTCTGTCCTTCCGGCCACTCTTCTCTTTGTGGAGGGGCCGATGGGGTTGGGAGAAGGGGTACAACAACCTCACAGTGTAAGACCCGACGTGCCCCTGGTGGAGAGCAAAGCGGTGTACCCAGAATAACTTGCTGAAGACTTACAGCAGCCTCTTTCCCTTCCAAAATTCTCCCCAACCTCCAAACTATTCTCGTGGTTTGTAGGATGCTGAAATTCCCTGCAGGAATTAGTGCCATTCCTTCTCATTCTAGAGACGTTGCTGAAAGGGCCTTGCTCAGGGCAAAAGAATTCCTTGGGCTTGGACACAGAAGGCTTGAGTGTCCGTCCAGAGAGAGACAGGGACAGAACACAGAGTCACAAAGCCTGCAAGACACCTCTGGCCTCCTGGGCAGTTTCACCTAAGGCCTAAGGGCAGCCCCTGATTCCGCCTGCCTGACCTACACGAGGCTGTGTTCTGCACTTCATTCTCCAGCCCCGAGTCCTAACCCAGACCCTCCGGAAGCAGAGAACTTTCAAGAACCATCATGCTCTTGGGGGGAGAAAGGGAGACACAGCCCAGGCTGTGGCCGGAGTGTCAGGTGCCCAGTCACAGCGGCTCAAACTGAGACAAGCCACCGGAAGTAAGTGAGAACAAGCTGATCTTTACTTGTGCATAGAATCCAGACGGCTGCCTGTTTTGTATTAAATGATTGCGTGGTGATTCATATTCATGTAGGACAAATGGCTTACAAATGGAGCATGCATTCTCATGCACAGCCCAGGGTCGGGGGAGTCAAAATAGTTTTTCTAAATGAAGTTTATTGGTACAATTTAGATATACACGATGATCATATCCATTCTAGGGAATTTGTGAGTCTCTATAGTTGTCACATGAGGAAGCTGAGGCTCCAAAGAGTCCTGGGTCCCACTGGTAAAGAAACAGTTTGGACTGGGGGAGTTCAGTCTGGATTCAAATGCCATGAGCCTCTCCAACACTGTACTGAGGGATCTCTGCTGGAATTTCCGTATTTGTGGGCCTCTCTGCCCCATCACAGGCAGGTTTCCCAAATGAATGCTGTCAGCTCCACAAAGCTTAAAGGCAAATGACTGGGCAAGGTTTGGGGTGCTGGACCTGGAGGAGGGGCTCAAGAGGGGCTCAGGGCAGGCGCTTGGAGCTCCCCGGAGGACGGGATGTAGGCAGTGCGGAAACAGGAGAACGAAGCAAGAGGAGGTCCCTGGATGCTCTGCTGCCCACTCACGCAGTAGCCAGAACCGTTGCCAAGCACCAAGGAAGGTTCTGGAAACTGGGTGTGTGACCTCCAGGGACTTGAACTTGTCTGCCTTAGGCTTGGCCACAGGTTCTGCTCTTCTGGGCTTTGTGGGGGAGCGGGGAGGAGGAAGTGCCGGGAGAGGCGCTCCGTCAGGCAGCACTGTGGCTTTTCCATGTTGCAGGAGTGACAAGTGGTGTGCAGCCTTGGGCCCAGGGTCCCAGCGGGGGGACAACTTGTGAGGCTGAGGTGTGGAGGTGGAACAGGCTTTCGGCAGGTGGAGGAAGGGGGAGGCAGCCCAGGGGAGGGCTGTGGCCAGGGTCCCCGCGTCCTTGTCCCAGCTCTGCTGGGATCCTCTGTCTCCCCATTCACAGCTCTCTTTGTGCTGCTTCTCCTGGATACCTGAGGAATAAAATTAGCAGAAGACTCCTGATTCAAGATTGGGCCAGGAGCTCTGTCAGGGATGCCAGAGCACCACTACAATGTCAGCAGACAGGCGGGGTGGCTTCTAATGAAAGCGGCCTGGGGAGATGTGTTGAAGAAATACTTAGGCAAGCATCTCGGGCTGCAAAGGTTAGGACGGATGGGAAGAGGGTGGGATGAACCCCTTCTCGCTCCAAGGGCCACTGTTCAGTGACAGGTGACCCCAAGCCAGCCTGCTACAATCCTGTGTGCACTTGGCTGTCTGCGGCACCTGGGCTTTAATAAATCAGAACAAATCTTTAATGATCAGGTTTAGAGGGTACTCACGGGCTAAGCTGAGGAGGGCCTGTGTGCTTGGCTCTGACCTCACAAACCAGCTGGCTGTGACCTCCTTGTGAGGTTTCCTGCGTCCTTGCTGAGTGAGGGTGGGCAGGCCCTTGGGGTCTTATCCTGTGGCTGTGGTGTCACGTGAGTCTCTCCAGCAGATAGCAGTGGCTTTCCTATTGAGACTGACCCACCTTGCTCTTTGCACAGATCCCACCCCATGACAGATCAGTGGGTCAGGCTGCAGCAGGGACTAAGGGGGCGAATGCCACAGAAGCTCTCCGGAAGGCCTCCACCTCCAGAGGATGGTCTTAGAAGCTGGTTCATTAATGACCACATAGTCATGACTGCTGCCTGCAAGGTCCTGCTCCAGGGACGGTGAAAGACCTGGAGTCTCCACATTGGTGCAAGTGCAGCCTCGTGTTAGTCACGCGGCAGGGGAGTATAAGCCAGAATCCTGTTGGGGCATTTCCAAACTCTCAGTTGGGCGCAGTCAGGCTCACATATGGGGCCCAGGCCTTGGTGGCATGGAGGGGTTTAGCGAGCATCTGTGCCAGTGCCCTTGGTGGGAAGCTGCGCGGGAACCGTGGAAGAGGAGGCCGGGCGGACCACAGCTAGGAGGCACGGGAGAGCTACACCATCCGCACCTAGGGCAACTCAATGTGCTCTGAGAGCGTAGCCAAGGAAGGAAGGTTAATGTTGATACGAATGCAACCTGGGGCAAGGCAGGTCCAGTGTGCCCCGTGGCATGGCCCCACAGAGCACAAGGGCAGTGACAGCTGTCCTCCCTCCCCTCTGCGATAACGCTTCAAGGCTCCTGGCCTGGCTCCTGCCCATCGGGTTAGAGGCAGCACAAGGAGTAAGGCCTGTATGTGAGTGACTGTGGCACAGGACTGCATGTGACACATAGTACCGAGAGGGCCAAGCAGGGTGCCAGGGCCACCCAGAGAGTGCCCTTCTGACTTGTAGGATGGGGCGGCATCCTGCAGGGCCCGGCCTTTCAACTTGAGCTTGGAGCCCGGGGACAAGGACTAGCGGTCTAGGC